CTCATCCTCACAGAATTATGCCATCTCGAGTTTTGCATGTGTGTTCTGCATGTCTGCAAGAGGCTGTGGCATTGGCGTGGTGGTTGTGTTGTGGTTTTGTCGTGGTCTTGGCTGTTAACTGTGTCCAGGCCGGAGAGGGAAAGAGACGAGGTAGCGGCGAATGAAGAGGTCTATTATCACCCCTCAATTACCCCCACAATACCACCCGCTGGCTCAGCCACGCCCCTTCGAGCCACTCGTCAAGCCGACTTTGGACGCTGATGCACGCTATCCGTTCGCGCATCTCATACCAATCCACATGCTGCCCCCTCTCGGCCACGCCTCTTCCCCACTCGCGCCGGTTGCTGTTCCATGCACGACCAGCTCGTTGAGCTCCCTCAGCACACCTTCGATGTGTTTTGCCCCCTCCAGCTTGTCTGGCCTCACTACGGCAACCACTGGTCGCACAACCGTCACATCGACGATTCCACCAACAACCGCCTCTGCCGTCACCAGTCCCACCATCGGCACAAACGAGCCCCATTCAACCATCTCTTGCCCATAATTATGGCTGCTGGCGTCAAGTAGTCTCGCATTTTGGCCACCGCGTTTCTCTCACCTCTCGCCTCCTTTCGCTTATCTGCTCTTCCCATTTGCGAGTAACTCAACCGGCCTTGTTATCCTTTGCTTCACATTGTCCAAGCACAGCTCGACCATAACCGATGTCTGCGAGCTCCTTGGCCAAATCGATTTGGCCTGGTGGACAGGACTTTCCACCGGTCTGAGTTGGCATGGTGCCACTGCCTGAGCATTGGCAAGGGATTCTGTTGACTGAGGGGGAAACGGGCCACCTACGGCACGACGGATTTGGCGCTTTAATCAACTACTCAATGGCCACTGATTGGCCATACGCAGAAATATAAATAAATAAATATATACAATTAGTTTACTTCAATAATATTATTATGATTATTACTATTACTATTTTACTGGTACTAAAATTATCATAGCCACTACTACTACTACCACCACTACTACTGTTATTACTACTGCTATTATTGATACTTTTTGGCATTCTTAATAATATACTATTTATCCGAACGTGCACAAACTTACTCCGAGGCAAGGTTGCTTTTCGCTAAATCAGATGTGCTCAACCTATTTCGTTCAAGATGACGAAAGACTAGTAGTTGAATTTTCCCACAATCATATGAGTAAACCTTACGCTTCTATTGAATTTCCCATGGCCTTGCCTGCCTAAAGGTTTTCTCATCCAGGCTGTAGTGAAGTGCAGTTTCGACATCGCTTAGGTTTTATCAACTCTCTCACCGGGACCAGAACCATGACAATACGACATATAATCTCGACGCGTTAATCACTCTGCCACATTACCACGAGTGCCCTTGCCTCACAGAGTAAAATACCAGTTTCAAGGAAGTCCAGGCCAATAGGAGAATTTATACTTTTTGAGTTTACCTCCATTTCCACTACAACTTAAACATTTTTATTATGTCAGATACACAACCAACTAAATAAAAAATAATTAAAATAGTTATATATATATATATATATACATATAATTAATATTATAAGTATTGTTAATACTACTACCTCTACTGTAGCCATTTGTCTTCGATAATATGGGCTTCTGTCAATTTTTCAGAGTGGCTTAAGAGTAAGGTATGCACCAGAAAAGTTGTTTTTCGCTGAATCGTTTGAACTAAATTTTTTTAGTTCAGGCATGCGATAAAGTTGTCATTAAGTCGAGGGTTTCCTCTACATTTGGTGTCCTTTAGTTTAATTGGCATGTCATGACTGACGCAGTCATCGAGACCAACGAATCTGGTTCCGACATAAACGTGCTGAGCTTTCTTGAATAAAAGTCCCAATCATAATAGGCCTCCTCATAAGGTGATGAAGGACTAGTAGTTGAATTTTCCCATATTCATATGAATAGGCCTTACGACTCCATTGCATTTGGCACAGTCTTGCCTTCCAAAAGGCATTTTCATCCATGCTGGATTTGGCTGCAGTTTCGACCTCGCCTAAGTCTCATCCGCACCCCCAGCTGGACTCGAACCATGATACTGCATTCTGCCATATCACATTCTGTGGTGGAATTATCAATAAAGCAATCTACTAGGTTACTTATTTTTTGTTTCTAATTACGCTTTCTAGGTCACCAGTAGATAATATATTTGAGGTGTATTCATACATAGTATTGTGTGAAAATTCAACTATCAGTCCCCTCATCACCCTAAATTGGTTGAATACATCTAAAATATATGATCTAATGGTGCTCTCGAGAGCCTACTTATAAACGAAAAATGTCAGTTTGTCTCATCTACAATCCTACTACA